TTCGAACTGAGAGAAAAAATTTGCTATAAACTCAAAAGGGATTACAGAATATTCAAATTTATTTATTATTTATAGCAAACATATTTGATAAATATTTTACATTTGTTGCAAATAATTTTTATAGCGAGTACAAAAAAGAATAAATATCAGTTACACTTACAAATAATTTGCAATCTCTATATGTGCAAATAAATTTATCATTATGACCTAGAATTAATATTCATATCAAATTTTTTCTCTCTCTGAGGTGAAACACTCTAGCATTTATTTTTTACTGGTAAATAATTAAACTCGGTAATCTGTGAACCTGATAGTTTATAGATCTGACATAATATATGTATGCATACCATAAGATATGTCAACCACCATTCAATTATTCAAATATACGTCAACTGGGATTGCCATGACTTTCTATAATAAAAGTTCGTAGGATTTGTCTTCGCGGTCCTGGGATCTCGTTTTTCATCTCATCGCGTCGCTAGCGAAACATCCATCATATGGATCGACGCGTAATCGTCGTCGCGGACTTGCGACAAGCCAAATCGATACCCGTCAATCCCCAATGAGCGGCGATCAAATCATTTCAGCGACCTCATAAATAATGAAGCGCATGTAGATGCCATCATCGTGATAAACAGTATGCGTTGTGACGAATTTGCCGATTTTACATTGCTAACGATATGCGATAACATCTATATCGCATTCTCTTCCGTTCTCATAATCGATTAAAATATCGTGCGATTATCTTGCACTGCTTTTTTAAGATTATATAAAAATAGTGTATTACACGTAATAACAACTTAACTCGTAAATAATCAATTACTATTATAAATTTAAATCTATCTATTGAGAGTTCAAATTATTATAGTATTTAGCGAACAAAATAAAAAATTGTTTACTTTCTGATTTATATATGGAAAGGATAATTTTACTGAAATATTTAAAAATTTAGATAAATATAGATTTGAAAATAATTCTGATCCGTCAAAATAATATGTAGAAAATTTCAAGCATGATAAATAATGGCTGTATGAAGCTTTGACAGTCTAATTTGAGCATTTTATATAATTATTTTAATAGCCCAATAAATTTGTCTAATAAATTAAAAATAAGTAAAATTATTTTCAGATCTATATGCTTTAGCTAAATTTTCAAATACTTTAACAAAATCGTTCTTTCCGTGTATATTATTGCAGCTTGTACAAGAAATTGATAATAAAAAAAAATTGAATAAGAAAAAGGCATCTAGAAGTCAGGTGGAAATTGATGCGCAAAGTGAGAACTTAGTATTTAAAAACTAATAGTCTATAATCTATAATCTCGAGCTTATATGTTTTGATTCAATTTTGACCTTTTTCAGAGCGTACATAAAAAAAAATTGATATCTTTTTACGTATATGAAATAGTATAAAATATAATAATTTAAAAAAAATATGCGGTCAATTATAATATTCTACATTTATAACATTTTTAAAATCAAAAATATTGCAAATATAAAAAAATGTATTCGAATATTTCTCTAATAAAGAGTATTTTACATTGTCTCATTAATAACGTAGTATTCGCAATTTATGATATTATTATATAATGAAGAAAAGATTATCCAAAAAAAATATATGAAATTTATTTTACTAAAGATAGATTTATAAAAAGAGAAAGAAGAGAGGAAAATAAAAAAAGAGAAAATATATATAAATTGTATAAAATATTATTAATTCTATAAATATATATTAATATGAGATATTTTCGAATTTCAAGTACGTAGCTTGCATGCTTATGTATATACTATATATATTTGTGTAGAAATTCTGTAATTGAGCAAAATTTTCTTTTATACATTTAAAACACGCGAAATATTTACGGCTTTTGACGCAAATGTAGGTATACTGTACTAATGCTTAACAGGCATCACTAATAACAACTCTATATTAAGCATATCGTATGACAACTAATGGATAACATTGTCATGTAACAATTCACCATAATGCGAACATTACCCGAATTACATCATAATAAATATCTCATTTCTATCAATTGTAGAATCACAATACTTTCTATTTAATGACATAATTAAGTCCTATATATAATCCTATATATTATATAATAATCGTCCTGTCTTTGTTACTCATAGAATGCAAAGATAAAATGACATTTGTGTCGATTTGTCACTAAATGGAATTTCGACAATTATCAGTGCACATATTATCTGATAAACAAAGTACATAATTAATGTTTTATTTTATTTAGCAATTATATATTATCAAAAAGAATACATTTAAAAAATATTTATCAAAAACCTTATTATTTGTAAAATTAAAGAGAAGAAAGTCTTTCTGTGTGTTTTATGAAAGAGATAAATATTTACATATGAAGGATAAATTATATGAAATGTTTTATTAATTATTTATATGATAAATATGAAATTTTATAAACAATATACATAAATCTGTAGTTTATAAATTATTTGTCATAACAAATACGTAATCAAAATCAATTAAATTATCTATTAAAATATAAAGTATCTCGATAACATACATATGTCTTGACATACATAGAGTTTATACGGTTCAAACGTCAAAGTGCTTTTGATCTGTGCTTGAATACAATTGGGTACGTCAATACAGCATCGATCGGGACCCTTGATGGGATAATCAATCTCCATCAACGGTTCGTCAAAAATCAATTGTTTTTACATCGCCAATGTTGTACATTAATGCTTTTAGCACTGAACGTTCAATTCTCTTCCAGTGGCTACCTTAGGCAGGAAACTCAATTTGCAAAATGAAATTCATGGTTGACCGATGATGATCGTCGCGAGATAGGAGACAATCAATCCGCTTGATGCAGCACTACCCCGCGGGGTAGATCGCTATTTCTGGTGGCTGACCTCTGATTCACTAGCACACTGCGTGAATTAGTCCGTGGCGTTTGTTCGCAAAGGTATCATCCAATCATGCGAGTGCATCATACGCCGTCGTGATATGCGTGGCTAAGCCATCTACCTAAATTGAGCTTTCTATCTTTCATTACCATTTAATGGATATACTGAATGTTGTCTGAATTATTTGTCCCTTTGGCTTCTATACATTGTTAAAAACACCATCGACTGACCACTTAATGAAACTTTTCAAAAATAAAATTAGGAAATGAGGAGACTTGAAAAAAATTTCTGAATGTGTGCTAAATTATTTTACATTATTATAAATTTTAATCACGACAGAAATATGTAATACGAAAGAAAAATCTCTCTTCTCTAGATTCATTCTATGAACGCGACTATTACTAATTAATTTTCATATTGCTTAAAAAATATCTAAAATTCAATATTATAGATATATTTTTATATTATTTTATTAAATAGATTAAGAATTAAATGCGTGGGAAGAAAAGTAATTTAATCGGATTCTTAAAGAAATTATTTCTTCTTTTGAAAAGAAATCGTAAATCTCCACTTAAGTCACGCTTGCCCGCAAAAATTAATTTATACGAATTCAATACAGCTTTCGTGGTAAAGAAATTCAAACTGCAGTGCACAGAAAAGTCTTTAGGAGGAGGAAGAGATCTGATAATTGCATTTGGCTGCCGTTTTCAACGCGCGCTCGGAAATTACGCCCCGGAACTCTGACGGCGCATTAAATAGCCGGCAGACATGTTCGCGCGTAAAACAATGAGAGACTATAGAGATCGTTTGCGACACACACGTCGACCAACCGGGGATTTACGATGCTGTGGGTGCTTTCCCTAGTCTTTGTTCTAACACGACCAAGACGTTGCAGGCTCTCCCGGGCCAGTATTGTAGCGGCACGAGCGTTGATGCTTGAGAGAACTTCCGGTACTAAACATTTATAACGTGTTTCTGAATTTGAATATCTTCGTGATTCAAAGTTTATGTAAATTAGTCAATTCGCCGATCGTTATATACAGAGTGTTAGTTAAGTATGTTGCCATACTCAACAGAGTGATTCTTTGGTTTATTTTAAGTAAAAAAGTCCATATAAATCATGTGTCCTAAACGGCTTAGTTTCCGAAATAAAAAAATTTAAACGTGTAATAATCTGTTTATTTGAAAGAAATACAGCTCGATTTAATCAAAAACTAGTAAAAAAACCTAATCAGAAAAATAAAAACAGGCTTCAATTCTTCTGATGAAATAAAACATTAGATGAACAATTAGATGAATTGTTGAAAATGTCCATGATACATCCATCGAGCCTTCTTCTCAAAGATTGATACACGCTCAAAGATATCAGGTGTGTTACGTATTGCCTCATATCATTCTCATTCTCAATTGGGGTGGTATAAACCAATGATTTCAGATATCCCCAAAGGAAATAATCCAAAGGATTTAAGTCTGGTAATCTAGGAGGAGTCAACTTTTGATTTTGTAACTTTGACTTCGACTTTGTCACTTTGTTTACGGTTGTGCGAATGTAACTCACGTGAAGCAAAGCATATTTATGCAGGAAGATTATCTCTAACGCAATTTACCGTTTCGTCAAACATTTGCGAACATTCACCTGTATTTCGGAAACTAAGCCGTTTAGGACATATGTTTATATGGACTTTTTTACTTGAAATAAATAAAAAAAACACTCTGTTGAGTATGGCAACATACTTAATTAATACCTGTACATGTATATAATATTGGTAATTTTGAATTTAAGAAACAAAATAGTGACATTGTTTTAAAAGAAAAATTGTTCTAACATATTTGCCATTCTTTCTTTTTTAATACATGAATAATATTTAAAATAAAAACTGATAATATCAGTAAAAGATTTTCAAGCATTAACATACTTTTATTTGACTAAAAAATATCTGTATATAATTTCAACTAAATACTGTTTCAATAATCTTCATAAATTTATTTGTTAAAGCTAAAATATTGAAGATGTTTAGAGTCAGTAGAATTTTTAAAATTACACAGATTAGAGATTGGCGATTAAAAAAGTAAAATGTCAGTTTGCGGCAGCAAATTGTGTTAAATTTGCGTAGCAAACATGCAACTACAGGTTGTACTGTTTACGTTGCAGGTGTCCTGGATGCGCAAACGGGACATGCACATCCTGAGCGCGGGCATCTTCATGTATACATCGGATCTGAGGTTCCAGGTGATCCATCCGGACAAATCGGAGAACTGGACGCTGCAAATCAAGTCGCCGCAGCAGCGCGATTCTGGCGTGTACGAGTGCCAGGTCAGCACCGAGCCGAAGATGTCGCTCAACTATAGCCTCAACGTAGTTGGTGAGTACCGTTTGTATTATTTACTCGTTGAGCCCGATAAATTGCGGCCTTGACTTGATTCTGTACGAAGTCTTCTCTCGAATGGGAGACGAATGTTACGGCTGTTTTTCGATCGGCTGCTGTCTCGGAGAAAAGATTGTTCGCGACACGAGCCGGTTGGTACGATCGAACGGGTTAAAGTTTAAACGCTTAAGTGCTCCGTCGTAGGATTATCCTCTCGATGTCGCATCGTTCTAAAATCCCCGTCGTTTGAGGATTAACGAGTTGCAACTCGCCATCGACATTGAGATTTAACGATTATGAAAAAAAGCTGCTATCATGAAATTTTTTAGTACGTGTAGTCTAATTAATCAATTTAACCAATTTATACTTTTTAACATTAGAAAATTCTAAAGAAATTATATTATATAAAATTGATCCAATTGATACATCAATATTGACCAATATTATATTTACATAAAAATAAACAGGGATAATAAACAGTAATAAACAAAAATAAATGGTTTATAAATATTAATAGTTATTTTAGTACCTTAAGTTTTTTAACGCATCATTTTGTACATTTGATACATATATATTACGCTGGCATTTGACTAAAGAATATTATTTTGCCAGTTCATAATGTTTGACATATTTATAGCATTTAATATTATTTCGATATTAATAATATGAAAATGGTGATAAATAATAAATTACTCAATGATGATGCGGAAATTTCTCAATAGTTATATCGTGTGTGAAAATTAATCTCGATTCCATCACGAATGCCGATTGCACAATGCAGCTGGCGATGACATGTACAATTACATATTCATGCAGACACCAGCGTGTCATCAAGTATCATTTTGCATCTCCTTGTCTATAAAATCTATTGCAATCTGTTACGAGGCAGATGTGTTTTCCCATGGAAAATAATGTTTTATAATTATTCGAAATAAATTAATGCGTTAATTGATTAATTTATTTATCATGACATTATTGGATATATTTGTCGGTTATGTTTGTGCGATTTGATGTCTTCTCAAACAACGAATAAAAATGTAATTTTCTTGGCTGCGGCAAAGATACAATGAGAGCACTATTCGTGTCTTCTTTAAAGTTGAAGGCAAGTACACCGTAAGATTTAGTTAAGCGAAGTCTCCATGATCGTTTTTTTTTACGTTCGTGAATCTTTCAGCAGTTCTGAGAACATTAGGGAAAACGACAACGATAACGCACGACTTCCGTTTCTTCCGTTTGCGAACGTCGTCGACCAAATAAAAAGCAACGAGGGTAGGCAAGGGAGGACGAGTTATTTTGCCATCGAAAGTTGGAGCTAAAATACACTACAAACAACGTAACTTTGTACATGCAATCCGAAAGAATTTCATATTGGCATAACTGCCGCGCTGAAAACTCAACATTTTCGCTGTTATACAATTTGTGATCCGCCTTAAATAAACTTTCATGATAAACATCCGCTATTTTGAATATCGGTGCGGTATTCTATATATCGCATTTAATACTCCTCCGTTTTACACGAAATTAATTGTCCTTATTGTTGTTTGCCATGTGACAGTTTTTATCATTTCCAAATAAGTAAACAAATACTCAAAGAAAAAATAAAACTACTTATGAATCTGAAGCAAAATATATCAATTTTTATGAGATTTTTCACATATTTCGCTTGTAATATTTTTATCCAAGAAATTTTTAACAAAATTAGAATTTAAAAAATTCTTAAAAATATATTTTAATTATTTAGAGATATAAAAAGTAAAAAATCTCAGAATCCAGAAATTTCATAATTTCAAAATACAAAATGAGATTTTTTATTTTTCATATCTTTAAATTATTAAAATATATATTATCAAAATATATTTAAAAAAATTTTTTTAATTCTTAAATCGCGGAATTGTTCGATTCTTAAAATTTAGCTGTTATATCATGAAATTCTTGATATCTAAAATTTTTCGATTTGCAAGATTTTTCAACTTCTATATAGATTTCGCCGTTTCAAGATCTATATAAGATCGTCGTCTTAAAATATGGAGAAAAACTTTCTAGTTTCTTTCGAAAGATGTAAAACACCGATAAAGAAAGCTACTGAAACTTGTTGAAATGGTAGTAGTATGAAATGAGATGGTAGAAGGAAATGATAATTTGTAGAGATTACGAAAGCGGGGCGGGATATTAACAAAAGAAATGTAAAGAAAAAGAAATAATTCTTTTTCTTTGCATTGTCCAGCTTTGTCATTTTCTCGCGCAATGAGTAAGATTAAAAATCAGCATGGAATTATTTGCTTCTGTTTGCGTATGTAGGATCACAACCATTGATTTTGACTCTGCACAAAGCTAAAGAGAAGAATAAGTGATGGGTAAGAAACGGAGAGAGTACGAAACGCTGCAGAACGTAAGAGTTCCGGCGTGGTCGATAAGAGGCTTGGAGGAAACACGTCGACGAACCGAGTCCTTTTCAACCCCCATACCCTCCCTTATTCTCCCCTTTTTATGTGCTACGAGCGCATCGATGCAGGTGCATCTACTCCGTCTAGATCGTTTATGTCTGGTAACGGGGAAGGTTGGCGCGAAATAAATCGTCTTTCTTTTGCACGTTCTCTCATTCGTAAAATCGTAAAACATGAAGTCGACGGCGAGATCGATTTTACAAATCCATTCCGCAAAAAGCTCGAAACGCGGGAGTCCCTACTGACTGTAGATCGAAATTTCCCATTGGGGTAACTTTGAAAATTCGTAGAAGGGGAAAGGGCTGTTTTCTAGATAGATCTATAAAGATTGTCGGTGGTGAGAATCGATAGAAGTGTCAGCAAAAGTAGAGCAGATTGATTGAAAAATAACGCAACGAAATAACTTTAATAGAATGTGATAGGAAAAACTATCTTGTGACAAATGAGACTTTCACGAAAAGTAATTTATAATAAGCTGTTCAAAATATAAGAATATTTATTAGAGATTTATATTAATAATATTCATTTACTTGTAATCGTATTTGTTCTCGCTTTTATCTTTTTAGCTAATTGAAAGAAACGTTGGAAATAATTCGTTTGAAATCTCGTGATTTTTGTGCAAAGTTGCTGAATACAAGAGATTTGGCATAAAATTTCTCCTGGCATAATTCCCGTTTTTGCCTTCGAGTCGAAACGTGTCCTACAGAGAATAATTCACGTTCCAAAATTCGCAAGGATAATAAAATTCTGCTAACGGGTGGAACTCCAATCTCACCACTCTGGCATATATATTCTTGACTCAGCATTTTTTTACCGCAACGTGTTTTCGCCTAGCCGAGCGGCGTAAATACATCCGAATTAACCACTAATGCATTTTTTGCCAGCCGTGCGTTTGTTAAACATCTCGTTCTGTCAAATAAATTCGAACCCATTTTTCGGATTCTAGTTTCGAATATTAGTTGATCTTGCATAAGCTCTCACGAGATTATATTGATTCGAAGCTCAAATTACATTCATTTCGATAGTAGAATTCGAGAGAATACAATGCCACTTTGTCATAATTGGATAAATGTGATCATGATTTTATTAAGTTTATTACAGTTCGTAATTTATTACGAAGTGTCGGCTTAAATTACATATAAAATGAAATCATCAACATTAACAAGCTAGTTAACTAAATGCTGCAAATGGAATTCTAATTCTCATCAACTATTATGCTGAATACGTATTTTACAAACATTCTCTCAATTTAATACAAATATTCTATATATATATATATATTTATAGGGAATATATATAATATCTACGTATATCCTATATGCATATATACTATCATTTATTACAAAACATATTAACTCTATGAATCTGTACCATTTGGTACTGCATATGGAACAACATTGTGGTTTAAATCTATCCTAGTTCACGATATGGTATAATACATTCCACGCTGGTTGTTGCGCGATGGCACGTTAATGAATGCGCTTCGGTTGACGTAATCAGCAACGTAATTGCAAATCCGACGAGAGAGTGAAAATGATAATTGGCCGGCAAAGATTTGCCAGGCAACAGTGGTGTCAACAACCGGAGCTATAACGGAACACGATAAACAATGTATCCAGTCAAATATCGATATTGTCAGTATGTATTTCATGTTCCATTACCATTATTGATAGTCGATGATTTTTTAACAGAAAGTAGGTATGTGGCAAATGTTAAATCGTTTCTGATTCTAATCATAGAATTGACACAATTTGATATTTTTAAATTAAACTTAGGAGAATTGATCATTCTCTAACTATATCATTAATATTCTCGGGAAATCAATATTTTATCTTGATATTAAAACAATATTTTTTATTTATATACGTTGACACAATTAATATATATAAAAATATATTTTATATAAACCTTAAACCATTTTTAATAGAATTGACTTAAATAACTCGCTATTATTTTCAAATTAAATTTTAGAGAATTAATTATTCTCATTATTATTAATATTTAAAAAATTAATATTTTGTTTTCTCACTCTTAATACTAAGACACAATATTTTTTTATTTATTATTATGCATTGATGCAATTGTTATATATGAAAATATTTACTACATATTATTTCCTTCACTTATACACTTCACGGTCATAATTTTTAATAAAATTCTGTATTGTATTATTGCATTATGTATTATATGTTAAGATATCTCATATTAGTAGTTCTGGAAGCTTTATGGATGTTTCATTCAGTGAAATAGCTATGTCAGCAGCGTCCTATTAAATCGGTACGGTGAAAGGCATAAAGATATGAATAAAATAGTATAATCACATGCAGAGATATATCTTTACTAAGGGAAGGTATATGTGCAAACAATATAGTGAGTGCTTATATACAGTGTTATTTACTTTCATATTTACCTTGCTTTAAAAGTGAGATACAAACAAACATCGTCATTTTTTAAAGAGAATGGTAAAAATATATCTTTCTTTAATCAAAATATTCTGACTCAAAAATTTAAAATTAAAATTTTTAGAAAAGGAAGGCTACGAGAGAGTTAACG